ATTTACTATCAGGAAATAGATCAAATTTTTTAGACTATGAAGGAAACATCTTATGGTTTTATACTTGTACTAAAAAAGTATCACCACTATACGTTTTTGAAGACAAACGATGCTATAAAAGAATCCCTATCTTTTATAAGAACAAAGTACATTTCGTTGACACACTTTCAAGAAGAACCTATTTCTGGGATACCGCAGTCCCATGTGGATCAGAAAATAGCCACAATGTAGTACAACTAAACCCTGATGAAGATAAATATTACCTTCTCACCCCATATCCCACATTAATGCAATCACTCAAAAAATTTTCACCAGAAAGCATTCGCGCTATTGCTCGAAACCCAAATATAGACTTACAATCAATAGGAATATATTCAAAGTCAGATATTCAACATCACATTCGAACACAACAATCCAAGAATTATTAACACAAATGGACACTATACAAAGACAATCAAATGACCAAAACTTACGCAAACTTGCAGAAACCGCAGGATTTGCAGACATCTATACGCAAGACTATAGCGGATATTTTAAAGACATTAAAGATTATATATATCTAAACGGTGAAAAATACCGTCCCCAAGATATATCACCTATCAATATTTTTAGCTTTGTTACACTCAAGAATAAAATTCTTGATTTTCTAGGATGGCCCTATTACATCTTAGAAAAATTGACTATTTTATACGCAATGCTTAACTTTATTGGATTTCTTTTCTCACTTTTAAAAGGAATCTACAACACATGTGCTATACACACACAAGTAAACAGACAAGCAAGCGTAGCACGCATACTCTTTGCAGGATTTTTTGGAATCTTTTCTACATCTATAAACAAAATTCTTTTAGACGCACAAATAAAAGAATATAACACAAAAATAGCAACAAGACAGAACACATACGACGAAGAACATAACAATGTAGACACAACACCAACAGCACCACAGTTACCACCCCTACCACATAACCATCCATTATCCCTAGTCCCACGTAATTTTCGAAACTTAGCCATAACACATAATCAAAATTTTAGACCAACCATATCACAAAGTCCCATCCAACATATAATGCCACAACACTCACAAGATGAAAATACTTATGAACAAATTATAGAACAACCCCATACCACCGCTTTTCAGTCTCAAAATAATAATTTTTTTAGCCCACGATGAGCCGACAACTTGGATCCCTACACCGATCAAATTCCCATCCAACCAACCTCACCACTCCAATCCAAATAATACCTCTTTTTGCTTTTCCGCCACCCGATTTCCCCACCAGTAATGTAACATCCGGCATGAATTCCGATACTAATTCACACATCTCAGTTTTATACTCCATCTCACAACTCAATAACCCGAATATTGAAACCCCCGATGAATTTGCCGACTCTGAACCATCTCCATCAAATAATTTTCACACCAACTCCTCAAATTTTTCTCAACCCCCTTTTCAACCCATACTACCAAATAACCCTGACCCAACCAATTCTACACCCTCTTATGCTTCCCAAGTCACTCCAACATACTCCTCACTTCACTCAGACCAATCATCTCGCTCTCCAGACACCGCCCGAATCTCCCCAGAACTAGATAATTTCATTACCCTACAACAACAACCCTACCACCTTGACACCCCAACCATAAACCAAATCTCATCCACAATAGATTCATCCAACCCTCCTACCCCTACACCCTCTTCAATTTATACCGAATCAATAGCACCATCATCCACAACTACTGAATCTACACTTAGCACTAATAGAGCTTACCGCACTTTTAAAAGAAAGTTCCCCAACCATCCTTTCCCAGCGAAACCAGGAACAGCCCATGAATATATCAACCATCCAAAACACACTAACACAAAAGAATTTTTAGCTATCACCTTACCCTCATTTCCACAATACACCTTAAACACCCCTCAAGACACTAACGAGACACGTAACTTTGTAGACGAATACGTTTTAATGCCTACCCTTCCTTGAACCTCATATTATCATTTTACTAATCACCTTTGCTTACCATTATCTAACACTCACATCGATATAGAACGAAATAAGGACATGCTAAATCGACTCACTACACCACTAACATCTAGACAATTTACCTACATTGGATATAAAAAATCACTAAAAACACACACTGCACCCCGAGCTAATGAATATACACTAGAATATTACGATCATAACATCATCAGAACTAACCAAGATCAATTCTTAGACGACGATCGCTTCGCTAACCCACAAATCACCGAGAAATTTTTCATTAAAACACCATATGTATTTACACTAAATATCTTCGATCGCAAGTTTGACCACATTATTTCAGAAGCACTAACAGACACACAAGCCTACGAAAGTTTTAAAGAACGCTTCCAAGTATTTTCACTAACCTTTCATTTCCTTGCACCACATGAAAGAGATTTGCACTGCTCACACGATATTATGTTGCGCACTAAACAAACACACACATATACTTATTATCGTTTCATCCAAAATCACTTTGACCTACACACTCCCTCCAGACAACCACACCATCGTTTTCAATTCATCAATTCCAAATACACCTCACCATTCTTTCTTAACTTCACATATTGTATTAAAGATACTAACCTTCATGGTATTCTTCGAAATTATGATCCCATAACCCAAATGTATATTTTTTGTCCAATCACCAAGACCTTCAACGCAGAAGAATCCCGACCCTTCCTTATCCCACACGAGTTTGTACAACCTATAGAAATCCCCATTTTAGAATTCATCCATAACACAAAATTCAATCACAAATTATATAATCTAATCCAAAACACACCTTATGAGTTTGCAGTTGGCACTGAAGAACTAACCACCATTAAAGCACTTCAATTGCTTTGGCCACTGCTTCAAACTAAAAATATCATCCGCATTTTAGCTAAATTACTAACAACTTCAGATCTCATCCACGACATCTTCCCCCACGGTTTCTTCCCCGACGACTAACAGGTAAGTATGAATTATACATATTACTAACTAATTTAAATATTAGAAACTCACCATTCTTTATCCATGTTTTCTTTAGAATTTTAGCCTTCATCCAACGATTATCTAAAAAATTCACAAAAGAAAAATAAAAAATAGCAAACTTCTTCAAAACTGTTTAAAACCCTATTAAATTTTTGCACCAACAATTAAATAATATAATACCAATGCAGTAATTTAATTTATAAATTTTTCCCCCACAAGCAGTAAATCTAATAATGATGAAAATTTGTAACTTAATTTTCCCCAACAACTAGCAGTAAAATTGAAATTCTATGTAGTAAATTAATAAGAAGCAAATGCAGTACTAACCTTTTGATATTTCCATTCACTCGCACAAGAATTCTATCCAAACTCGCACAGCTCGCCCACGAAGAATTGTTTAAATAATGAATTTCAGTTTCAAGCTTTCACAACTCAACAACTCTAACATACGATAACAAGTTTCAAACTTTCCTTTAACCCGGTTGGAAAGGAATTATATACTAAACAAAACTAACCAATGCAGCTTACTAAACACCACAACACATAGCATAACAGCATGACTAAGAAAAAGGAAACCAACGGTACCCAAACCGGATTAACCCAGTTTAAAACTGGATAATTTATTCTTTTGAAGACTATTATAAAGTCTAAGAAAGAAATAATAAAACACAAAAAAGTCGAAAGACAAACCCATACCACAAACAATTTGATTTTTGAAAAAAGGACACAACCAACAAAACATAAGAAAAACCACAACAAACCCAACATAAAACGTTGTCACATAACAGGACCTCTCACAAAAACCGCATGCAATCATACTCCCACTCCTGGCCTAACCCACCAGGAAGGACGTCCTGAGCATGCTCTATAGCCGGCCTAACCCACCGTGCTACATCCACGCTTTGTGACCACACTCCTATTTTTAATAAGAGCTACTCAAGGGTGAGTAACTCTTCAAAATAACTGAACTAAAACAAAAAGCTTTTGTGAAAACAACTAACTAAAATCATAATTAAAAAATATTAAACTAATAAAAGTTTTATAAAATGTAAATTACATTATGCAATACATAGATCAGAATACAACACCAAGGACGAACATCCAAAGACAAAACGACCTCACTACACTCGAGAAAGAATGGCCAACTACAATCAATATGCCGCTCACAATCACAACTCAAAGGATTTAGAGTACGACTTGACTTCGCAGAAAAGGACTTCATTGAACTAGACCAATGACCACCTCGATGTTCAAGTATACGTACAGATCCGAGTAACCAGGCATCCCCTCCACGCACAATCTCCACGCCATTCCTAGACAAGATCAAAACACAAAGAAGTTCTCATCAATGAAACAGAAAAACCTGACATAGCCAACCATTCTGAAATCAGATTTGAGTTTGTTGCGAAAACCCAGTCGTTGTCTTGAGAAGACACAACGATTGAATCTGGGACTTCTCTAATAAGAAAACCCAGAAGAAATAAGATGTTCGCCAAATACCAACGTCCATCATCCATCCTTTGAATTGCAGAAAGACTATTCTAAAAAACTCTGTAAAACCCGGATGGGTGGAACCTGATCTAAACTACATTTTTTGATTGGATAAATTAGATATTTTACCAATGTAAAGTATTTAATATTAACCAATCATGATCCATCTGACTAACAATCCACTTATTTGTAAGTGCTGAAATTACTTGTAATTTCAGCACCAGAGAGATTTGAATTTAACTTAGAAATTAGTTGAACTCTCCCGAGTACTTCAGCAGCCGCAATAAACCAGTATACCCTAGATCTATTGAGCCTAGCAGAGACTAGTTAAACAACCTGAGACTAGATAGTATAAGAGTAAGATTAGGATCGGTATTAGACTAAGAAGTTGCACGAATCTATCCGGCCGAAAATAAGATAGCGTGACGAGCAGACGGTGTACCCTATCCGAAATTACTCTATGAGTTATACCCATCAATCCTAACTCACTCCATATCGATCATTACCTTCATTGTTTGAAGTTTTGACTGTCTGAGTGAACTTGAAATCATCCGGCAGCCAATCATTCTTGTCCACGTCTCGTTTTGTCCTGTCAATCTGGCTGAACAAGTCGTGTCTCGACACACCATACCTAAAGAGAACCATAAGCCTTCGTAGATTTTACAAATGTTTTTGAGAAAGTTGTCCAGTGCATTTGTCACTTTAAGCATAACCAGATTTTAAAAAGATTTTGAAATAAGGATAAGGGTTTAAAAAAATTGGGCTCACCGAACAGTTGGTACAACAAATATGAGAGACCTAGAACCTAAGCTCTACAAAAGTTATACAAAAATCGCGTTTTTTACTCAGAAAATGAGCGATAGAAAACTTTTTTATTCATAACTAAACTTTAAATAAATAGAGCCGGTTGCAGTGCAAGTAGCACAGAAAGTTCTGGTCATAACATAAAAACATATATTTTTTTGCAAATTTATGATTTTCGCTCCCATTATTTGCTCGAAGTTGGACCAAACATCAAAAATTGTAAACCAATTTCGAATTTATTTTTTAAAGTTTCGAACCACGACTACAAGGAACCTAACATAATATTTCACACTTTCCGCAATTATTGTGCATGATTTTGCAGGGAAACAAAGAAATTGAATAAAAACAGAAACACCCAAATTCAAAGTTTTTCTCCACTTTCAATGGTCGGAACAAAACAATACGGCAGATTGTTGAAAACGAAGCTATTAAAAAAACGGTGTTCTCCCCATAGATTGAAACTGTAACATGAAGACCTATCCTTGTGTTTTGACTCAGAGCCCTACATAAAAAAACTTATAAACCTAGGACATATGTTTAAGTTTGATTTTTTGTCGAAATTAGCAGAAACTTTCATTTGCTCTACTTTTCCAAAATTTGCATCAATAATTGACATTAAGAGACAAAAAGCGATGTGCTCAGAAGCCGTAACAAAACTTTATCATTACACGCAGTGGATTTGCTTGGGTAAAATCAAATAACTTGGAATTTATTCTAAAAGTCTATAAAAATAAAAGAAATAATCGATAATAATAAGTTTAAAACAGATTTTATTGCCTCTGTTTAATTAATAAAAAGAAGGCACTTCTTCTATTAATAAGATTAGATTTTTTTCTTGTTTAGAAAAAGTCAATAATTTTTTTTTTCATTTTATTCAGATGTGGATGAGTTTGCAAAAACCGAAGCAGATATAGTTGTTTGCACGAGTCAAACAAAATTGGAGTGGTAACGATTGTATGTGTTGCTGTATGTAAGTATGATTGTTTGTATATGTATGTATGTGTGCATGTATGTAAGTATGTATGTATGTATGTATGTATGTATGTATGTATGTATGTATGTATGTATGTATGTATGTATGTATGTATGTATGTATGTATGTATGTATGTATGTATGTATGTATGTATGTATGTATGTATGTATGTATTTATGTATGATTGTATATATGTTGTATCTACTAGATTTTGTTGTTTCAATTTTTGTCAATATAATCATTTCCATGTCGCCCTCAGACAACAAAAATGATTCAAAGTCGTTCAAAACCCCTTGTTTTTTTTTCAAATTTAACTTTTTTTTATAATCCATTGAAAATTAATTAAGATGAGTTTTTTGCCAATTTGTTGTTGTTTCGCGTCGGACATCAACTCAAAACATTTTCTGCATTGATCAGACAAGCAATGCAGAAATTTTGCGAAACGATTTAAGCTGGACACGATTCAACCTGATAGGTTTACGTGCCTGTTTCTAAAACCATAAGACTATTTAACCTCATAGGTTTAAGAGCTTCTTTCAAAAATCCAACCAAAAACCGCTCAAAGATTGTTTGATGAGACGCTAAGGCTCTCTTCCGCTCCCAACCTTTTAATTCATCTTTATCTTACGTGTTATTTTAGCTAAATTCGGGATGTTACGATGTAGACTATGAAGAAAAAACTTGTTCACAATAAAAAACTCGTTCATCATGACAACGTTAAAAAGATTTTTCTAAAATTGATATAATAAACCGACGTTTAGAAACGGCATCAAAAAATGTGTCGGTTTCTTTCATTTTTTCTAAATCAAAATTTGATCGCTTTGAACTATTGTTGTCTGAAAACCGCTCAAGCTAATCATATATCTTACGCGGGTCAGTCAAACGCAATGCGACTGCACTGGAGTAGTAGCCATAAGAAAGTAAATATTTAAACTGCAAAAAAAAATTACCCGTTGAAAATCTCGTTGGCGAAGAAAAGCATGCCCCTGCAGAACATCATCAGCATACCGGCGTGTACTCTGTGACGTAACTGAAGTAATGACGTCAGTGATTCGGAGGCTGGCGAGTCAGACGATGAAGTGTGTTTCTGGTCGGGCGGCAGTTTCGCATTTGTAAGGTCGTAGTACACTGCAAATCATTTAAAATTTCAACGTTGAAAAAATTCTAAGCTATCAAAAAGTACTTAGCAATCAGTTTTCCCATTTGATATTTGAGGTCCAGAGGAATAAAAGGAAACAAAAAAACTTGGTTCTGCATAAAATCTGAAAGAAAAACAAACATATTTGATTTTCTCGTTTTCGATTACTTGACGCAATCAGATCCAAAATTTTAAACCAACATCAGTTATAACTGCAGATAAATTTTGATAATTCAAAATGACAAAAGTGACGCCTCACCCAGCCTGAAGGGGTCTACTTTGGACTGAAAGCAGGGACTGGTTCTGTTTCTGCTCATCCTGCAGTAGATATTGTCATACATTTCCCTACCCTGGAAGGTTTCTTTGTCCATGCAGTCCACCACGACAACCACAAGAATCTGTGAAGGGAAAAAGTGACTGCCATTTAGAATAATTTATTTTATGATATTTGAGACCATTTATCCACGAGGGAAAGGACCAACATACGAGCTGTACAGCTGAAGCTCATCACGGCGAACCGCTGATGTGCCCCTGCTTAAGATCTTTGGACATTCTTCTGGGCTAATGTTGCCTTACCCTAAAGCAACGAGCACGGATCATGGTGGGCATCGGACATCCGACCTTTCCATTGACAGGCGGAGACTTAATCACTTCACCACTGCTGCCCAAAATTAATTAAAAAGCCCGTAGTGCGTCCAAAAATTAAGGAAAAGTCAATTTGAGAAAATTCACAACTCTCTTATCCACTCCACCAATGTGAATTAATTTTAAAAACAATAATAATCGCACCGATTGGTCTCACAATTCTAAAAAGAGATTTTTGAAATCGTAGGTTATTTTTTTCTCAACGCAAAATCAAGCAAAATACAGAAAAAGTTTCACGTGTTTATTCAAAAATTAAAATCAGCATATGTTGCTTTTTTCTGTATAGTACTAATCACGACCTTTTGTCAACAGATCTGGGGTTTGAGGGTCCAAATTTGGCGCAACTTTGCAGCATAGCAAAACAATGAGAGAACCAACCAAAAATAAAGTATCCGAAGAAGTTAAGGATGATAGTACCAAATGCAGAAACGCTCCAAAAACCACCAAAAGTAAATCAAGATTGGAGCTCTCGTTGGGCAGTATACTTACTTAATCGCCCCAAACCACCCCAATCTTATTCAAAAATTCGTGCAAAATCTTCCTTCGGGGATTGCCCACCGCAACTAGAATCGCGCAGAATAGCATCTCGTGATCCAACGACAATCCCCGTGCTTAACTTCGAAAAAGGGAGTTGAAAGCCTCGGCTTGTGCTCAAAAATATATTAGGTTTCTGTGGTTGAAAAGAGTGAGCGTGAATAAACTAGCCGAACAATCAACTAACCAAAAATGAACAGAGTATGTTTTTCATACCAACCGAAAGTTATCTAAATATATTTTTTTAAATTGTAAGACTTGTTAAATTTTATTAAATTTTTATATAATCATTAAGTAAATTCTCATGCTTTTTGTCTGGCATAAATAGTAGTTTGTTTTATACTTCGTCTGGTTTAAATACCACCGATCAGAATAATGATTGAATGAGACTTGTTCTACCTGGTGAGGGGGGATGCAGTACTGTATGAAGTGGTCTACTTCAGTGTCCCTCACTTCAGGGGGGTGGTAGGGGGAGCAGGAGCACTTGAATGAGTCACCCATGCTCACTTTCTGACCGCTCAACTTGGCACGGAGACTTATGGGACACGCTAGCTGTTTCTTGTCTGTAAAAACGACCCACTTTGGCTTAATGGATGAATCTTTTAAGTTAAGATCTGTTGAGTACTAGTTTAGATTAAAAATAACTAATAATTAAAATTGACAAGCAAAATTTAAAGTATGCATCAAAGCTTTAAAATTAAACTCGGAAAGTTTTGAACACTTTCAGGAAATTTGAAAAAAGTGAAAATTCTTTGATTATTATCAAATAATTGCAAGCTTTATTACAGTATTGACTTAGGTTAGTGATTCACTATTATGATTACTAGTTTTTAAAAAGTAAGATTAATGAAATTGGTAACTTTAAGTTATAATAAAATCTCCTTTAAAAAGGTCACCTTGGGCCAGTTCCTCTGACACTTCGCGAGGTGTCTTTGCAATGGTGAGTTTCTTCCGCAGCTCCCTCGCCGTCCTACTCGTCCTGTTCTGCTTCTCATTCTCGTCGTCTTCATTCTTAGCACGTGATAACAAGTTCGACCTGGCAGAAGAAGCACCGAGCGAAGAAGCGCCATGGCCAGAGTTGTACTAAACAGCACTTTTTGGATCTTATTGTGAACTGGTGCTAGGTAAATACGACGACATGCCATTAAGTCGACAAGTCATTAAGACGACAAATAAGAGTTAATACACGTAAAATGAGCTGTTAGAAATTAAGCGGTTAAAACTTCTCGGATATACAATGTGGCGAATTAAAGTCCCATCAAAATGGTTGGCGTCTTAATGTCATGTCGTCTTATTTGCCGGTCACATTTTTAACTATTCCTTCCTCCCTACGGTCTTATAGACCTCTACCTCTAGTGAAGAACTTGCTCCCTTAAAAAGAATTTACTTATTGATTAAGTACATAAGAATTTTTGACCTTCTAGGGAATTTTAACTTTTTGCGCAATAACCAGGACAGGACAGGGGGAGGGTAGTTAACCAGATTCAGTTTTTAAAAGTTTTATGCCGGACTCTACCTTTTAACCCCAAATTAATTGAAGCATAGGTTTAAACTCTTGCCTATGCCCCCTACATACACCATTTTTCCACACACTTTAAATTCATCTCAATTTTTGCATTTTTCCTCCGATGTTTTATAACTTCGCCCAGTTATTAAAATTGTTTCATTTATTGCATGACCTTATTGCAACTTCAAAACTTTCTAACTAAAAATTAGATAATTTTTTTTGCCCTACAGAACCAAGTATGCCAGGCTTGGTATTATATTCTCTTGACCGTTTGGTTCAAAAGTAGTACGTATAAACACTAATTTTACTCTATTCGAGCATATTAACTTAAACTTGATTTAAAAGTCCTTCTTGAGGACTTTGATGAGACTATGATACTTTGCAAAAAAAGGAGTTACAATTTTCAGTCGCAGGGCATCGGATCCAGAAATTTGCAATGAAAGGGTGTTTGAATCGCATGTTTTTACCTGGAGAAGTTTGATGGGAGGCACCGACGCCGTCCTTTTGATACCACTCAACTCCATCCCAGGTGACATGGCCGATAGACGGCCACTCTGCTGCGAGGTCAAGTGAGGTCGAGGGATGTACTTCAACTTAGCAGCCGCGGAATGACTCCTCGCTCGCATCAGGTCTTCCAGGACCCGCAATGCGGCTGCAGGAGTCGACCTGGCAGACAGACCTCGTCTCACAGAGCGTGGCTGAAGATCGGAAGGTGTCGAGAGGTTGCGGAGGAGCGGAGATGGGATTCCTGAATGATCATACTTTTAAAATCTTGAAATCTCACAAATGGATTTTGTTGCCTCGAAAAATACTAATATTATAATCCATGTTTAATTGATTATAATCGATTTTATTTCTTTTTTGTGGACACTGACAACGAAACTGAATTATAATCGATTTTTAATCATGGAACTCCAATGCGGCTGATAGAAAGAATTCAGCCATTATACTTTTGAAATGTTACCAGTGTTGAGGTGTAATTTTTTCATCTGTATTTCTGCAATTTGATACAATCAGCAGTTTTAAGGCCAAATTGAAGTGATTCAATTTCTCAAAATCAAAGAATATATCAAGAGATCTTTGAGAAATTGAGTCCTCTCTCGAGCCAACTTAGTTCGACTGGCCAAAATAAGGTCTCGTTCACATCATAATCAAACCCCCACTCCCCGAGCCTACTAACAATAAATTAATTCTCTCCCAAGTAGAAGTTTTAGTTTTTTTAGGAAAGTAAAGAGAAAAGGTCAAAAAATTCGCCTGCTGAGCGGATAAGCAAATAATTTTCCCGCTCTAAACTAGTAGCAGGTTTGGAATAGCAAACAATTACAAAACAGAAGTTTTTTTTCTAAAAATTCAAATTCCTAAAGTTTTAATTTTAGCCCAAGCTTTGTAGCTATCATATAGTTTCTGTTTTAAAGTTCGCACATGCGCTAGATTTTGCGACTGAGCTTTTTGCATAGAGGTCATCACTAAGTTTTGAGCTTAACTAATTAACCTGGTTATAAAATGAAAATCTTACCGAGATGAATCCTGTAGAACTCCAGCCACTCTTCGAACAGATATTCGACCTTGACCTGAAGTGACAGCAACTCATTCTCAAACTTGGTCCTCTCTTTCTCCCCTGGAAGATCCAGGCCCCTAACTGTGCCCCTGCCCCCCATCTCGGCCGAGCTATGACTGGGACCCCGTTTGGTCGGAGATTTTACTTGGGAGGACTTGGCGCTCTTCTTCTTTGGGCTCTCAAGTTCACGTGCAGTTTTGGAGATGAATTTTAAGTCACTGAAAGCACAAAAACAATAATTGCGAAACGTTTTGTAAAAGCTGTTGCTGCTGACACAGTAACAAAATTCAAAAACAAACAGCCTCGGTGCAATTAATGATGAACTATTGCGTGTTTATAGGAGCATAAGACACTCTCATTCAACGCGAAAATTGTTGACTAACCAACCCCCCCCCCTCCACCTGAATTTATCAAATACCTCAACAAGTAGATTGACATTTCCCCTCTTTCCTTCTGAAACGACGGGTCTCCCTTCACCTAAAACAATTCCTAGGTCAACAACAAATCTTTTTTCCTCGAAAAACTAAAGCAAACTATTGTAAATTTACTGTTTTGGTCAAATTAATCTTGTATTTTTCCACTCCGTAGTTGAAGTAGAGAAAAATCTGATTCGAATTCAGCACTCTTATTGTCATTTTGTCATTCAAAGTCAAGGTAATCGGCTCCGGGAGTCTGTTAGCGAAAATGGGCCACGTGAAAACTCTGTCTCGGTCGCCTCTGCTGTTGTATAATGTTCCCCCTTTGGAATTGTAGATTAAACTAGGGCCGGAGCTGGATGGAAGAGTGATGGACCCTCGACATCCGGGATGAATGAGTGCCTGGAGATTTCCCTCTTCGGAGAAGATAGTGCAGAAGAATGACTGAAACAAAACAATTGTCAAGTCGAAACTTTCTCCATATTGCATTTAGTAGTCGTGTTTCTCATGCTTCTTATGAATAAATATTTAGCACGGTCACATAAAAAACAAAAACCAAAAAAAAGAACAAAATGTTTAGTTTTTATAGAAAATATATTGTTTCAAACATAAAACATAAAATTAATTGCCCTTAAAAAAGGCTAATGAACAAATCTGAGAGCAGTGACATAAGAATACAATCGAGAGGATACGTCTTGCAAGCTTGCCAATGCAGAGACATGATCTGTTTTTGGGACAAAAAACTAAATGTGCTGACTCCGTTTTTATGTAGTTTAACTAAAAGCATCTAGTGTATTGCCGTGTATTTTTGTTACATGCACAATTCCAACACGGTGAAAAAGAATGGAAAAACTTTGTGGCATTTGATCAGCCATAACTTACAAAATTGCTTCCATCTATTTGGGGTACTGTCAATATATTGAAAAACCTATAAACTTTAGAATTAG